TATTTGTAGTTAGTTTTGTAATTATATCTGTGTTGTACTTGTTATTTATGAGTATGTTGTTTATAGTTTCTATCTCATTATCTTTTGCTACTCTGGTGATGGGGTAGTTATTTACTCGATCTATGAGGTATTTAATACCAGATATTTTGTGTTCATGTGGGTGACATGAGTCACTTGGTATTATTATGTCCGTTGCAGTGTGTTTTCGGTGGATTGAGAATTGTAACTTTTCCATTTCTCTATATATTTCTATATCTAAGAAATTTATAGATCTATGGTTCTCTTTCTCTATTGTGAAATTTATAGTTGGCTGCAGTTTATTAAATTCCACAATCATGTTGTCAATATTTGTTTTGTTTATATCATACAGTATTAGTATGTCGTCAACATATCTAAAATATCCAATTATTTTCTGATTTTTTAATATGTTGTATATTTGTGTGTGCTCCATGTTCTGGATGTATATTTCTGCTAGTATTGCAGATGTTGGAGCTCCCATAGCTAAACCATCTGTTTGTTTGTAATATTTATTTTCGTACTGAAAATAATTTTGGTCTAGTATAGTATTCAATATGCACATAATTTCTCTTTGTGTATTTATGTCTGTAGTATGATTGTGTTGTAGTATGTTTTTGGTTATGTTCAATATGTCTTTCTTAGGTATGTTTGTATACATGTTCTCTATATCAAATGAACATAATCTTATGTTTTCATTTATTACAATAGTGTTTAGGTCACTCATTAATTGTATGGAGTTATGTATATTATATGTGTTTGGCAATTATTTGGCATTATTATGCCGAAACATGTAGTGCGAGGGAAAGAAGGAGATAAATGAATGTATGCACTGCAAGACGGATTAAATAAATCATGGAGTTCAATCGTTTGCTAAACAACGGCCAAAAATTTAAGTTGAGGGAATTCTTACCGCACTATAAAATTTTCTTTTAAATATTAGCCCAAAATTGGCAAATGTAGGGGATGTTGAAATGGTAACACATCTTTTTAGGTTCTGATATCTTCCTGAATTCCCCTGGATCTTAGACCGAGGGAAGGCGAGGTGATTAGGTGGCTGGTTGGAAAGTTAATGGTGATTGCTACATGGACAGATGTATATTTGGCTAGAGAGCTTCTCTTGAGAAATTGATAAATTGGTAGTTGAATAGGTAAGAGGAGAAAAGTTTGGACTTTGGACGAATATCTTTAAGAGAAAGAGAAGCCCTGTACACGATTTCCTGGTCTCACTACTTTTCTTAGTTCATCCTAGCACTTTTCATTTTAACTAGATTCGAAGTGTACACAGGTTTATATCAATAAAGGGGAGCTAAGGTCGCGCCATAGCTCAAGCGGTTAGTCGCTGGCTTCCCATCATGGCGGCCCGGGTTCGATCCCGGGTCTGGTCAAGTGGGATTTGTGGTGGAAAAAGTGGCGCTGGGGCAGGTTTTCTCCGAGTACTTCGGTTCCCCTGCCAATCTTCATTCCACCTGTTGCTCCACAATCACCCTCACCTATCATCTGGGGCTGGTACAATAGGCCAGAAGTGGCCGCAGTACAAGGGACTTATTCTCACCCCACTAGCAATAAAAAAAGGGGAGCTGATGTAAACGTAGGCTGTTTTAGACTGTAGGTCTGAGTGAAATTCAGCATTCAGGGATACTACAAAAACAAAACAAATTCTATGGCCTCTAGTCCGCAAGCGAATTCTACCGACCGAGCGACCGCCACTTGTCGGCGAAGTTAGTGTCAACTTTAGTGGATAGAGGGTGTTGCGTGGTCAGCGCAACAGATCCCCATGGCCGTTAATCTCTTTTCTTTAGACCGGAGCAGCTATTTTCTTGAAATAGCTCCTCAGTTATCCTGACGAGGTTGAGTTGACCCCATTCCAGACCCACTACTTCTAAGAAAATCTGGTAGCTTCGGGAATCAAACCCCGTACCTCTGGATATGTAGCCAGGAACTATGGCCACTAGACCACAGAGGCGATTCAGGGCCACTAGGTTTCATAAGTTTGTGAGGGTTACGAATTGTAATGGACTGTAATTTAATCGTTTCTAAGCAATTGGCGAAAGCGTAATATTTGTCTGAGGCTTCCATCATTGAACATTTCAATGGATAAGTGCTATTAATCAGCACTCTCTGCATAGATACTTAGTAATAGAGCCCATTAAATCTGCCGATACCTCTTCAGGTTTATGGTGATAACTGATTCAATGATTTAATATGTCTTGCGACATATCATATGTTAACCCATATTTTATTTACATTGAAGATAATATTTATTATATTCCTATCAACACAACTCTTCTTCCAGGAAGTGGAGTTTTCTCTCTAGGACGACGTGTTTCGTCATATATATATGTGTGCCATCTTCAGTCTAGTTTATGATTACAATTATTCTGTCACGTGAACGGTAAATGTAAAGTTAATCTGCGTAAATAATTAATTTACTACGCCATGAAGGCTTATGGTTGAATTGATGTATACATCAACGCATCCTTGACTTCAGCAATAGTTGGAGAT